GGGTGTCCTGCCTCTCTGGTGCACTGCTTTCCTTTTTCCCTCCTCCTTTGCAACCATAAACTGGCTCCTGCCCTCTATGTTGCTCAGCGTGGTTTGGTTTTCTCCCAAGCCCAAGTGGGCAAGGAGGGAGACAGGGGTCACTTGCAGCTCCCCATGGATTCCACCAGGGACCCAGGGACTGCCTGGGGCTGGGTCGGCTTCCCCAGCATCACACAAGGGCTGTTTGAGAGGAAGCATCAATCCACATGCCCAAGGCGGGAGGTAGTGGGGCTCTGCTGCAGGTGTGGAAGGGGGGATTATAAGGAGAGATGGGACCTTGCATGAAGGACCAAGCCAGACTCATCCTGGGGCTGGGGGTGCAAGAAGAGTTGCCCTGGGGAAAGTTCCCAAAGTCCTCTGACAGCCCTCACTGGCCTGTGTCTTGCCTCTCCTGCCAAAGAGGGTGGGAGGACCAAGCAGGCTTGGTCTCAGGTTTCTTCACCACAGAATCACAGAATGGTTTGGGTTGGAAGAAACCATCACAGATCATCCAGTCCAACCCTCCTTGCCATGGGGGTAACATATCTTCCACTAGACCAGGTTGCTCAAAGCCCCATCCAACCTGGCCTTGAACCCTTCCAGTGATGGGGCATCTACTGCTTCTCTGGGCAAGCTGGGCCAGTGTCTCACCGCCCTCATTGTAAAACATTTATTTCCCTTGTCCAGCCTAAATCTACCTTCATTCAGTTTAAAATCGTTGCCCCTTGTCCTGTCATTACAGACCCTGGTAAAAAGTCTCTCTCCATCTTTCTTATAAGCCCCCTTGGAGTACTGAAAGGCCGCTACAAGGTCTCCCTGGAGCCTTCTTTTCTCCAGGCTAAACAACACCAACTCAGCCTCTCTCCATGGCAGAGCTGTCCCAGCCCTCAGACTGTTTTGGTGGCCTCCTCTGGCCCCACTCTCACCGGTCCATGTCTGTCTTGTGCTGGGGGCCCCAGAGCTGAAGGCAGGGCCCCAGAGGGGTCTCACCAGAGTGGAGCAGGGGCAGACAATTCCCTCCCTTGCCCTGCTGGCCACACTGCTGGGGGTGCAGCCCAGGATGCTGTTGGCTTTCTGGGCTGCCAGCACATATTGCCAGCTCATGTCCCATTTGTAACCCACCAGTACCTTCTCAGCAGGGCTGCTTTCCATCCCTTCATCCCCCAGTCTGTATGGGTACTGGGTGCAGGTGCAGGACCTTTAACTTGACCTTATTGAACCTCATGATGTTCACAGGGGCCCATGTCCTCCAAGGTCACATCCCTCCGGTGTGTCAACGACACCACTCAGCTTGGTGTCATCTGCAAATGTGCTGAGGATGCCCTCAGTCCCGCTTTCTGTCATTGATGAAGATACTAAACGGTATTCATCCCAGTAGGGACCCTTGAGGGACAGCACTCGTCACTGGTTTCCACTTGGACATTGATCTGCTGACTGTAACTCTTTGGCCACAGGCATCCAGCCAATTCCAGCTCTAACAGTCCATTGTCAATCCCAAATCTTTCCAATATGGAGGTAAGAATGTTGTGTGGGACCACATCAAAGACATCCTCAGAGGTGAGGACAGAGGTGCAGGAAAAGGGGCCTCCTGCCTGCCCTGACATAATCCAGATGTGGCCAGGGTACACTGGGGGGCTCTGCCTAATGTGGCAGCAGCAGCAGGCGAGAGCCAACACCAGCCAGGCTCAGTGCCTCCGGTGGCAGTGTGGAGGGCAGTGGTGGGATGAGTTTGGGGACTGCAGGGGACCCTGATGTCCACAGGGAGGCTGGCCAGCTGAGACAGGGCAGCAGTGCGCTGCTGTGCTGGCTGTCCAGTCGCGCTCAAGCAAAACCCTTTGCCCAGCCCCTTCCCATGCAGCGCACAGCTCCCTACCTGCCAGCCAGGCTTCCTGAGATGGATCGGTGGGACAAAGGACAGCAGGGTTAGGAACCCCCTAGCTTTGCAGGATGGGGCCACCCACCCCACCCCCTGCCTTGGAAAAGAGGCCAAACCCAGCAGCCAGGCTCCCTACCTTGAGAACAGGTGCCATGAAGATGGAGACCCCCATCAGGATGAAGACAGCCAGGCCAGTCAGCCTCTGCTCTCTGTAGGCGGCAGCACAGGTGTCACGAGTGCCACGGGGTCCCTCAGGAGCCCACAGCCTTTACCTGCCCTCACAGCCCCCAGGGTCTCTGCTCTTTTCAGCTTTGATGGCCATGGGGACCACATGCCTGGGGAGACACAAGCAGCCCCACAGCCAGGGCTGCTGGCCAACATGGGCATATCCCTGTCCCTGGGATATGGGGGCACGGGGTCCCCCGGAGCAGGGTCTGGGCTCATTGCGTACCTGATGCCCAGGAACTCAGGGTGCTCGCCTGGGGCCGAGGTTGCGCTCTCCTTCCTCAGGCTCTCCATGTGTGCCAGGGAGATGACAGTGGCCGAGACATACCAGGGGAGGCCGGTGGCAGAGGTGACAACCATCAGGAGGGAGACACAGAGGAGGTCCAGGTGAAAGCCTGCTCCTTTCTGCAATGTAAAGGCAGCAGGACTGGAGACAAGTTATCTCCCTGGCAGCATCAGAGGGGTGTCAGTGGGGTCTGCCCACCTTGCTGGCCAGTTCAGGATGCTGCTCTCCCCTGGCTGCCCCCCTGGCCCATGGGGTCCCGCAGAGACCTGGGTCCTCACCGTTGGCTGGGTCGTGCCTGTCCCCTGTCTCCCACTCACCTGCAGCTTGTACTCCCTGCGGTTAAGGATGACGGCTGTGATCTGCTGGTCCATGAAAATGAGGATGGTGACAAGGACAGCGGGCACCGCGGACGCCAAGCAGACCCACCATGGGTTGGCTCCAAATGGCAAGATGATCCAGCCCCGTGCTGGGTTTGTAGGCTGCAGAGAGCAGAAGGGTCACTGCAGCTGCCACCCGCCTGTGGGGTCTGCGTCGCAGCCGGGTGACAGGACCAGCCCCAGGTGCCCTTGCTAGAGCCCTGTGGGCACCCAGGGATGCTCCACCTGGAGAGAGGAAGAGCATTGTCTCTCAACCTGGGGATGCTCCTGGGCAGTGTGACCTACCAGCCCCCCACGAGGACACCCTGACTGTGGTGGAGCAGGGGATTGCTCCTGGGCACCACAATCCAGAAGCTGGGCACATGCCCCTAGGAGCGGGCAGAAGAGGTGACATTGGGCATTGATGATGGCAAGCCCAAGGAGGTGGTGGCAGGCATGGGCTGCTCTGAGGTGCTGCCAGCCGCAGTCCGCACCCAGGGTGAGGAGCCCAAGCCCAGACTTGAGCCTGTGGCTCTCGCTCCAGCGTGAGCTGTACCATGACGTGGTTAGTCCTGGACCAAGCCAGGTTATTTGCAGAGTGTGGGACTGGCTGCGGTTCAACCCCTTCTTGTTTGCTGGGGCACAGACTGCATCCCTATAGGGCTGGACCCATTGGTGAGAAGAACAGCAGCAGCACGTCCTGACAGCACTGTCCCCACCCCGCCAGCACCTTCAGCTCACTGGGGACGAGAAGCTTGGGGGTCTCCAGGCCCAGGGTGGCGTCAACAGTGCAGGAGGCAAGGATGGCCAGGATGATGGCAAAGTCACTCACCAGCTTCCGCACCTGCAGATGGAGAGGGCTTGGCCTGGGCTGGCTCTGGTGGGGAGCTGTCCCAGGAACACCCCTGGGTCATAGCACCCACAGCCATCCCCATGCCACTGGGATGGGTGGCCATGCCACTGAAGTGGCCAAAGGATGCTCACCGCTGCAGGGAAGTAGCGGCTGCTCCTAAAGCGCTTGAGCGTGGTGCAGGAAAGGAAGGTGCCCCCAAAGAGCATGAAGGAGATGAGGGTGACATCGGGCACATACTGGCAGCTGGTCCCCAGGAGGTGCCCACCTTCACTCAGGCACTGGGTCTTGCTCAGCCCAGCCAGGGCAGTGGGAGGCTGCGGGGATAGACCAGGCAGTGAGGAGGGGTCATGCACAGCCACCTCAGGCCCACCCTGGCCCCTCACCCACCCACCTGGGAGGAGAGGCTGTACCTGCCAGGGGGCCAAGGGCGAGGGGAGCGGCATGTCATTCCCCGTGGAGCTGTGACCTGCAAGGGGACGGCAGGGTCAGGGTGCCAGCACTATGGGGACTCTCCATCAGGGAAGAATGAGACTGTGTTGTCACTGGAACAGCTCCTCAGACTCTCCCCAAGGGCTCAGGGTGCTGGATGGGGCCTCATGGGAACTGGAGCCATAGGAGCCAGACAAAGGATCTCCTTGCTTCTGGCACTGCCCAGCCCAGAGCCTGGGCAGTGCCAGGAGGCAGGGATGGATGGACAGATGACAGGGAGGGGAGTGGAGGAAGGTGCCAATGTGGTCAGGCAGGTAAGGGTGGAATTGAGCAGCCTCCTCCTCCTCCAGTGCCTTCCCCCATCTAGCCGGGTGGCAGGGTCCCAGTGGGGTCCCAGGGTGGCAGCCCCCTGCTCCCCACCAGCCCCACGGCTGCTTGGGCTCACCAGGGCTGGACAAGTTGCAGATGCAGCTGTAGGAGGTGACGTTTTCCAGCCGGTACTGCCAGTTGACGGGAAAGGTGTCTGCCAGGCTCAGCATCTTCTTCAGGGAGTCGTAGATGAATATCAAGCTGATGAGGGCACAGAAGCCTTCCTCGGTGAAGCGGGTGAAGTACCGCACCAGGTGGCTGGCCTCAGTGGCCACCAAGACCACACCAAAAAAGGCCACCCAGAGACCAATCCAGAGACGAAACTCCAGGTAGTCCAGGCTGTGGTCTCTGGTGGGAAGGGTGACCCAAAGCCTCAACTATGACACCCACCTGGTGTGATGGTGGCCCGTGCCCCAGCCAGGGGACAGTGGCCTGAGGAACCGTCCCTGGCAGGGTACTTACTGGCTGAAGGAGAAGAGAAGGCGCTCAAAGACCAGCACAGGGCCAGTGCTGCTCAGGATGGTGAGGGGCTGGCCGGAAAAGAGGCAGAAGATGAAGCCAGCAAAGGCCGTGCCCAGGAAGCTCTCCAGCACCCCCTGAAATGCAGGGCAGGGGTGTCAGGTGCCAGGCACATGGCAGGGACAGGAGTCCCGGGCCTGTCCCCCACAGGTGCCCGCTCCTCCTTGCACTGCAGTGTGCAGGGTCAGTGCCTGGGAACTGCAGAGGCCAGGGAAGGATGCAGGATTTGGGTGATGCTCAGGATGCCCTGGGGGCACCGCTAGCTACTTGGGCACCAGTGGGATGTGGGGACCCAGGAGACCTGCAAGCTGGGCTGAGTGGGGTTGGTGCAGGACACTCCATGGCCACACTGACCTGCGTGTTGGCAGTCGCGTCCCCTAGCATGCCACCGAAGGTGATGGCATTGGTGACTGTCGCCAGGTAGATGTAGAGTACTGCTGAGAGGCACTGGGGGTGCAGGGCGTCAGAGAAGTCACTGCCATACCATGGCGCCTTCCTCCGTATGTCTTGCAGCAGCCCCCCAAAAAGCCTGAGGCAGTGGAGGAGAATCTCAGAGCAGCCCCTCTGGCCAGCCTTCACCCCCTGAGAGAGCTGCAAGGCAGGGGACAGTCCCTTCCCCAGGAGACACCAGCCTAGAGTGGTTTGGACATGGTGGCCCCATGTGCTGAAGAAAGCCAGCGCCCTGCTCCAAATTCAGCATCCCGCTGCACCTCCCACCACCCTTATCCTTCCAGGCACCCACCTGCCTGTCCTCTCCAGCTCCTCCCTGGAGCGCGGGTGCCCCAAGCCAGCTCTGTCCCCAGCTGCTGCCATGTCCCCATTGCCACATGACTGCCAATCTGGTGAATGCATGGCGGTCCTGTGGCAGACCAGACCCTGAGACAACAGGCTTCAGGTTGGAGCCCTCAGGACCCAGATGCACCTAGGGAATGCTATGAGAGGGGACAGGGGTGCAAGCAGGGCTGGGGGACCTCATGTATCCCCTGATAATGAGGAGGAGGACAAAGATAAGGAGGAGGAGAGATGGGGGAGTTGGACTATATAGAATCATAGAATCACAGAATTGGTTAGGTTGGAAGAGACCCTTGGGATCATCAAGTCCAACCATCTAATCCATATGATCTTCAAAGGCCCCTTCCAACACAACCATAATCTCATCCAGTAAGCTGTCTCCAGCCCTAGTGGGACCATTTTCAGTGGAGGAGCTGGGCTGAACCAGAGGTGTCCTGCTCGGCATATGAGTTTCGTATCCGAGAGCTGAAACCCAGTGTTCCCAGCAGCTCCTGCCTAAAGGGCACATGGAGCAGTTTTGCCATCCCCTGCCAAGTGGGACAGCAGGACTAACAGCAGCAGGGACTAGAGCTGTGGTCATCGGCCGGAGCTGCAGAGGGGCTTGGCTGGGAGGACCTCACTGGCAAAAGATGGCTCCTGGGTGGTTTCATCCTCATGGAGATGGAGATTTCAATGTCACTGTCTCCAAAGTCACAATGTCTCCACCTGGGACCCTGCAGAGGAGCTGGCAGAAGCTGTAGGTGCCCTCCTTCCACCCTACCTCCTGTGCAGAGACAGCAAACAGCTCGGTGGAGGAATTCGGGCATTGGGGTCCCATTTCCCAGGAGGAAGCACGATCAGCTCATCCAGGAACGCTTCCATTCCTGCGATGAGGTCCTCTCGGTGCTCAGCCTGCCAGGCAACCCTTTGAAAGAGCTGTGGGGAGATGCTGTGGTTTAGCCACCACATCACTGTGTTCAGCCGCTCTAAGCCTTCCTCCCAGCCTGCAGCAATCACTGAGGAAGGCACTCACCCACTTCAGATTAATGGGTGCACCTACATCCTACAGACCCACCCCAAACATTTGCTTTCTTATCCTGGGATAAGGGAGGCCACCAGCTCGCTCCATCCTCTACCTCCCCTGTTGCAGCCTGCAGAGGAGAGGAGCCTTGGTGTCCTCATCCTCGGCCTCATCCCAGGCCTGTCCCACCCATGGGTGCTGTACCAGGCTCACCTCATCCGTCAGCAGCGTGGCCATGGCCCTGCCAACCTCGTGGTAGGCTTTCACTTTGTCTTGGGGACCCAGCAGAATGAAGACAAACCTGTAGGCAAGGCAGCACATCTCCTGAGCAGCCCTCTCCTCGCTGGGGCTGCTTCTCCTGGGGGAGACCATGGTGCTGCAGGGATGCCGGGAACGGTGGCTGAGCAGGCTTGGAGAGCTGCTGCCACCCTAAGAGGTGGACACCCTAAGTGGGAGGTTGGGGGCAGAAGACAAGACATGTCTGCTGCCTGCTGCATGGAAACCCCATGGGAGACCATGGAACACCAGGACCCCAGCTGGATCACAGGGTCTGCAGAAACCTGAGATGGGAGGGACGGGGCACAGGTCTTTGGGGCAGAGTAGGAGACATCCTTGGGATGTCTGTGGGGTCATGCTCTCAGCTGGGGGTGTCTGTGGGGTCAGACTTTTGGCTGGGGATGTCTGTGGGGTCAAGGTCTTGACTGAAGCTGTCTGTGGGGTTGTGCTCATGGGAGTGTTGCTGGCAGGCAGGATGCAGGAGCATTAGCATTGGGAAGGAGAGCCTGCCAGCTGCACAGGCAGTGGGTTTGATAGGACTAAAGGGACACAGGAGGAGGTTGGAAAGAGGGCTCAGAGTCCTTGAAGAAACAGGGCTAAAATCCCACACCTCAGAGGGTGCTGTGAAATAATAAGGTCTCAGAGGGACAACCCATCCAAATATTTAACCAAGGCCTCTACTGTTTCCAAAACCTGCCAAAAATGGTTACAGTCCTGGTACCCCGAGGCTGCAGAGTGGTTCCAGTGATCGTACTCCAAGCAAACCTCCAGAGAGGGGGTAGGGAAACTCCTCTGACAGCACAAGTGGGTCTGAAGGTGGCTCAACAGAACCTGCTGTATCCCTGACATAGGACATGAGTGCTGGAGGCCTCCTGGAGCCTGCTCCAAGGGGTTGGGAGGTGACGGTAGCCACCTGGGATTGCTTTCACTCAGGCAGCTTCATCAAGGCAATGGGAAAACCTTAAGATCGTAGAGATGGCATTGGGTGGGAGATAGCCCCCAGACAGTGGCTGCACCCATGGCACAGCCTGGGGTGGCCAGTAAAGGGGATTGCATCACAGACAAAGGGATAGATAGGGACAAGCTCTCCTTTCTGTCCTGTTTGGGGGAGGAAAGTAACAGGGCGAAGCATTGTTGTGAGTCCCTCAAGACCCGTGCAGGCTCCCTGGGAACCTGCCACCCAGCTCCTACCAAGGAGAGAGCAGGAGGTGGACGGATGTCCGGCTCCACCCAGCTCCTGGAGGACGGGTGCTCTGGGCAGAGTGACCAGGAGGTGGCAATGTCCCTCCTGTTCCTCGCTTGCTTGCTCCCCGTGCTCCCTAAGGAAGTCCCAGCTCAGGGACCACACCGACCATTTCCCCTTACGGCTTCAGAGGATGTGTTCCTCAGCCATGGAGAAATATCTCTTGCCCTGTTCCTTTCCCCCTACACCAACAGTGCCACAAGAGCCACCCCACTGCTCAGGAGAGCACTGCAGGCAGCAGGAAGGCAAGAGGCTGCTGCAAACCTGCATTCCTTCCCAGCCGCAAGTCCTTATGCTTCTGGTCAGTAAGTGGAGTGCATCCAGACCCTCTTAAGTAGGAGAGTGAATGCAGAGCCCCGATGGGGATAAACCAGGGGATGTCCCCCCCAGGCTTTCCAACAGATGCTCCACTCTCAGGGTGTTCCCGGATGCTGCTTAAGGAGCTGGGAAAAGCAGGAGGGGAAGCAGTAAGCCAGGGTTCTTGGACTGCACATGGCATCTGGTGCCATACCCTTTGCTTTTGCCAAGCAAAGCCTTATTCTATGCAGGAGGGAGTGGGGAGACAAGGACAAAAGCGGGCGCAGGGCCATGGGCCATGCTCTGTTTACCTGCTGGGGAGAGCGACTTCGGCCAGCGAGCCGAGGACCACCCCTCGCTTGAGGCGGATGAAGGCAGTGAAGGGCTTCTCTAGGAATTCAGCTTCACCGACGGCAACGTGGGCTGCTTCGGCCCCCCGTGGGACCTTCTTCTTAAATCGGTTTCTCAGCTGAAAGGAAAGGGATGCAGTGCTGGGCAGCCAGGATGCAACAGCTGCTCTCAGCTCAGCTCCATCCTGCCTTACCTGCTCCTTAAGAGGCGTTTCGGAGAGCTGGGATCTGGGCTCAGACCAGCTTTTGGCCTTCCCTGCAAAGACAGCAATAAAGCAGCAAAATGCAAGTGCAAGTGAATGGCCAGCATAGGTATTGCCCCAGGATGGTGGCAGCAGAGAGAGAGCTGGTGGGGCAGCCATGTTGCTACCCATGGCCCCGCACTGTGCCTACCTCGGCAGGGAGAGAGGCTGAGCTCAGCAAGAAGCTGCAGCAGGGATTTGGTGGGCTGGTGCTGCGGCTGGCAGAGCAGGAGGGCTGCCAGGCGTTCCCTCATGTCGGGCTGCAGCTCTGCTTCCTCGGGCTGCCCAGAAAGCGCCTTGTCTGCAATAAGGATGGGGACAGCCCTGAGTTCCCCCTGGTTTGCTGGCCAGTGTGGGGCTGCCCAGGCAAAAGCTCAGTTTGCTGGAGTAGCAGACAGCCACCCCGGGTACCTGGCTATCATACCTCAGTGCTTTTATACAAGGGCCTCCTGGTGGCCTGGTTCCTCTCTGGTGACCAGCCCATCCCAGGAGGGGACTTCCACACATACCGATTATTTCCTTGAAACTGAGGGCATCCAAATCCAGGAGCATTGTCCCCTTCTGCAGGCATGTCCTCAGCTGGAAGAGGCTGTGCAGGGGGAGGGCAGGGATGTGGGGCGCGCTCCAGCGTTCCCCACCATCCTCCACCTTCTCCTCGAACTTTATCCACCTGCCCAGGGAGATGCACAGTGTCAGCAACAGGGTAGTCCCATGCCCTGTGCCAGGCAGTGGGAGCTGGAGCTTGGGTCCATCTCTGAGCTTGGCATGGGACTGGCACAGGCAGGCAGGGCTTTGGGGGGCTCAGAGAGGGCTGCAGTGGGCTTGCGGAGCAGAGTCAAGTGGGCAGCCTCAGCAGTCATGTCCCCATTCCT